TTCCCTGGGTCAGGAGCAGGACACAAGACCTCTGAGCAGGCCCTGGCCATGAGCAGAGGCAGCAGTGGGGAGCAAGGTCTTTGGCAGAGGGGCTGGAACGGAATGGGGGACCTGCTCAGGGGCCTGGTGTTGCTGCCACTGCCCATGGGGAAATAAATGCCCTATATGTTGCTATCACTGGCACCACGGCTGGGTCCTTTCTGCATTTTGTCAGATCCCCTGGATGGAGGGAGCAGGTTGGTGCTGGGGGGCTGCACGGCTCAGGGAGACTGTTGGGCACTGGAGTGCTGCACTGACCAAGAGAAGCCCTCCCCTCCTTCACCCCATGAATGGGACTTGTCTCTTCTTGGAGGTACATCCCTGCTGCTTTCTGGTCTGTGGTCTCCCTCCAACAGCCCTTCATGACCCCCTCTGTCCTCTGGGACATCGTCTATATGGGCTTCCTTGCTCCTGCCTTGGGCAGTGTGAGCGGTGTCCAGTTGTGTTCAATTCATTACAGTCTCAGTCAAAATTTCAAATGTGTCCGTGCCCAGAGGGGAATCCCAGGAGTACTCCGTCCCCAAGCTCAGAGGACAAGACTCCTCAGGGATGGGAACAGCTGAGGGTGTGTTAACATTGAACAGTTCTGCCCCAAACTTCAGACTGCTGCTGGGCAAAAAATTCCACCGACCCATATCCAGTGTGCAGAGTTTTGCAAATGCCTTTTAAATAACTTCTGACAGAAATGTGAAAAAGCAAAACTCATGGTAGTAAAAATAGTTTTGAATCCACCCTGCCCTCAAAAAACAGGGTCTTTAGGTTCAAACCAAAGATTCCAACACCAGAAATACACAATGTTTCTGTGAAAAATTAAATTGCATAGTATACCATGCAAGTGAATATATTCCACTAGATCTCTTATTTTGGTTCCATATTTTGGAAAATTCCACAGATTTTGGTTTAAACTCAAAGCTCGTTTTTTTCCCCTCATATGCCACCTGCTTTTCTGGGATAGAAAGTGGCAGCCATGAGCTGTAAATAGTCCCTCCTGATAGGGTAGGTGTTTAGGAAAGAGAGCTAGGCTGGGGTGTTCCTCAAGGGGGAGAGTGTTTTCATCCTGATTTGTAATTTCCTTTTTGAACTTGTTTTGCTCTCCTGGTCTCTTTTCCAGGTTATTTTGTTAGCTGATAATTCGCTGCTCTGAGCCATTGTAGGAAAAGTGGCATACAGATGGAATGAAAGGGCGGGGGGGCGACAAGGTCACACAGGGAGTCACGGGAGGGCTGCAGTGAGTTTGCTGACTTAAAAATTTCCTTTTAAGACTTCTTTAATCCCAGCTGCTTCTGTGCCATGGCCCACACAGGCCAATCTGGCCTTTGGGTTTGCATGTAGGATGCCTGCCATGGATGTGGGAGTATGGGAGGCCCCAGGCTGAAGAGTCTGGGAGGGAGGGATGCTTGTACACATGACAAAAATTGCCCTTTTGTGTGGTTTAATGGTGTCACGCTTCATACGTATGCAAGTTTTTGGTGAATTAAACAAGTTTCATTGTCACAAACTAATTCACATCCCAATGTAATTTAGTTTGAGACAATGCAACTTGGGATGGTGAGTCATGGTAATTCACTGAATGACCTGTATTGAGCCCCTTTGTTCACTGAGTGTTGCTACAACTTTTGTGCCGTGAGCCCCCTTGTCCATGAAGCATCACTATAATTTGCAGGTATTTATCTGTAATGAATGTTTTAGGACACTGGGTGTAGCTGCAGAGCCCAGCATGAATCAATCTTCTGCTGACCTCTAATTATTATTTAATGAAATAAAGAATTCAAAGAAATCTGTGGATGTCATCTTCTATTTCACTTGATGCGGTGGGCGTCCAAAGGACCGCAGGTGGGTGGGGGGGGGGGGGGGGGGTTGGGTTGCAAATCGGGGTGATCCTGGGCTCTTTTGGAGATTGATCCGTGTATGTTTTATGTGCTCTCTTCCCCGTTATTGGGGATAATGTGGTGCTGGTGCATGCTGACCCCCTCAGCGCTGTGAGAGACATACTGCCCGGTGCAGTGCTGTTGAATGCTGGTCACCAGCTCGGGGTTAGTGCTGCGAGTTGTTGCGAGACCACGCGATGGGATAACAGTGAACCCTGCCGGCGAGAGGTGCCTCCTGTTCCCCTAGCTCAGGGTTCATGCCGGAGTTAATAACCGATGCCTTGCACTGTGAGCTGCCGAGCATGGCTGTACTCGCTGGTGAAAGCAGTCTGGAGGCAGCGTGACACTTGTTTTTCCCCCTGCCCCCGTGGCCAACCTGCGCAGACTGGAAGTAGGAGCCAGGCGCGAGGCCGGTGCCCGCGCGGGCAGGCGGGCTCCCCGGCGGGGCCGGTCGGTCGCGCAGGCACCCCGGAAGCGGTGTCTTGACACGCGGGTCGCTTGCTGCTCTGCCATGCGTGGACGGGACTTCTCGGGCCGCAGGGGCGGCAGGGCAGGGAGGGCTCCGGCCACGGCTGCTGTGCCAGGCCCCAGGGCGGGTGCGGGCCGGCCGAGACGGGCGTTTCGCACCGGATAGAGACGTGCGATGGTCCCCGCGGCAGCGCGACGTGGCCCCCCCACGACCCCCTCCCCGCTCGCGGAGGTCCCGCATCGCCCGCAATGTGCGGGGCGGAGGCCCCCGGGCGCGCTGCTCCAGGGCAAACACCGCTCCCTCTGCCCTCATTTACATATCATTTGCATATGCACCGCAGGGGGGGGGGCCGCGCCTCCGAGCTCCCGCTGCGCAAAGCACCCTGGGAAGGGCCCGGAAGCCCCGCCCCCTCGGAAGCGGATGCGCACGGCGGAGCGGCACCCGACGGACCGGGCGGTCGGTACCTGGAGTGCGGGCACCGGGAGTGAGGCGGGGGCTGCGCACGCGCTTCTCTCTAGCCTGGGACCCGGGCGAGGCGGGGACCGGTCCAGTGCAGTGAAGCAGATCCCCGGACAGGGGAGACCTGGGAGTGCCAGCACGTGGCGGGTGCCCCGGACCAGGCCCTTGCCCAGGCAAGGTGAGGAGCCCTGGAACTCCCCTTCCCCTAGCACGGAAATCTCTCTCCAAGAACAGCTGGGTGGAGCTGTGCTGTAGCTGGTCACTGGCTCTTGTTCCCCCTGCCCCTGGCAGCATTTCACATGACCATACTGTGCGTTTCCCCTCTTCCCCCAAAAAATGTGGATGTGACACAGCACCAACATCACTCTGGCTTCTCCCCCAGGAGCGATGTCCCTGCCAGCTCTGACGCGGTGCCGTGATCACCACCGGCGCTGGGCTCATCTCCAGCTGGGTGCCTGTGGAGGTCTGTTA